AACTGTGTAAGGCAGGACTCTGGTTACATCGTCACTGATACTTGCGATGTACACGTTTGTATCGTTGACAGTGACGTTCTTTAGAGTAAACCATGCACGACCTTTGTTGAGATCACCTTCAAATGCCACCCGTTTCATGAGATTTGGTTCCAGAAATAAATTGAGGTAGGCTTTGTTTCTCAGTATATCCACATTGATAAATTGAGGGTCAAGTATGTTCCCTTTTTTTATGCCCCATGTTGCAGATAGAATAGCCGAACTGTCGGAAGTACTCCACTTGAATTGTGCAGTTTCACCAATTTTGTAAGTAAGCTCGGCAGGTCCAGTAATTCGACACATTACTACAAGCAATCAACGAGAAATAACGAGTCATTATTTTGATTGGTAGTGGCTTACCACAAGAGAAAAGGAACTAAGAGAAGGAATCCCCCCCCCCCCCTCCCATATAGCATCGTAACCATCATGTGCACAGTTTGATGCTATTTTTAAACCATTTGTTTTTATTGCACGCGCATTTACTGCGCGCGTTCTAGGCTGTTTGCTTACGTTTTTGGGGTTTTACGTTATTTCGACTCTGTCCTGAATATGAATGTGCATGTTAAAAGCTTGGCAAATGCGACAGGAAAATGAAGTAGTAATTTGTTCAACTTTCTGGAGTATTTTTACATTTATTTTCCAAAGCTTTTCGACCTACATCGTCATCTTGAGGGCAGATTTGAACATTTGAATATAAGAATACGTTAGCAAACAGCGTTGAGCGCGCGCTTATTATGCGTGTACAGAAAATCAAACGATCAAATAAATGATATCATTGGATGATATTTTTAAAATAGATTCTAACAATAGCATCAAAGTGTGCACATGATGGGGCACGAGGATTCGTTCTCTTAGTTCATATTCTCTTGTTTACCATGTTTACTTTATTTCGATCTTGTTTACTGTTTTCGTATCGTCTATATCAATCATAAATCACTGGCACTGGCACTGGCACTGGCACTCACACTGGAATTATACTTATCTTTTAAGAGGGAATTATTTTCTTATTCAAGCGGTGAGCGCCAAAAACTATTTTCTTGAAGAAAGGCTGTTGTACAAGGCTAATATCTTGTTATTCAGAAAGTTTAACTTGTTTTGAAGTGGAGATGAACGATGAAAGGAGAATCAAAGTGTTAACGCTGGAAGCGAAAGGTTTGAGCTCCGTTTTTATTTTTCTTTCTTGCACTTTTTCTTATCTTCACTCAATTCATTCCTTCTCAAACATCTTGTGAAGGCCAGTTAGTTTTACTGTATTCTACATTATTGAAGGCTTTTTTTTAATTACCCTCTCTCGTTTAGGGCATTTTCTTGTACGAACTGTAGCTTGTTACCTTGAAGCAGCTTRCCGTTTCAATCTTCCTGTAACTGTCTACTTTGATTTATCATTTAACTTTATAATTTGCGTGGAATTTTCCTAATCGTCGCAGCTTTTTAAACATGTTTAATCCATTTTCATTTGTGAGAAGATCGATATACTCTGACCTTTGAACTAGAAATGTGATTTGTTTGTATTTTGACTARTACCAAACAGCTCTACGAGAAACCTACAACATTGATGACTGCAGTAGACTGTCTGCATCAAATGAAGCAAGGGACGCTCATTAGCAAAAAAAAA